TGTTTTTCCAAGGTTGTGCATACATCATTATTTACCTTTGTCCCACTTAGCCCATGCAAACCTGCCTAATTGTTCTCCCATTCCCCTCTCCCTTCTTGTATATTGCTCCCCTCCCCAGCACCCAAACTATCCTGTGTCTATTCCCTGACCTGTGCTCCACCTTTCTGTCCCACTCCCCTCACTCCACCCCCACATCCCAGCAACCAGCAAAGAATCCACCCCCTTTAGTATGGGTTATTTTTCATAGTCTTTTACAGTAGTTGGACCAGGAAGATTTTAAAGACCTTTTCCTCTCAGGGATAATTTCTGTGACCTTCAGGTGGTCTGAAGCAGTAGTTAGCCATTTCTTTAGAGGCTTAAAATCCTCACGCTGGTCTGTCATTCACTTACACTGTGGCAAGACACTTGACATATGCAGACACTTACTGCAGGGCACAGCGTTCCCCCAAAAAGACCACAATTTATCTGTTGCATTTGTAAATGTTTTTGTTAAGTTAGTCTAAAACAGTTTAATTTACAGAGCTAAAGCATAACTTGGGAAGTCATATATAAAGTGTGAAGCTTATTATGTATGGCCAGTTCCAATGCCGAATTTCTAGGTAAAATTGCAGAGTATAAGATGTATTTTATTCCACAGTAGTCTAATTTAAGCTTGATTACAAAACTACATAGGGTTATCTTTGCCTTCAGAGAATGTGTTTCTAGTTTATGTAATTTGGCAAGTTTCATAGATTTTGAAAAAAAAATCTCTCATATGAAAGGATGGCATATAGTTGTAGTGAAACTGTATTGATTTCCAAGCATATCCTGGCATGTTCTGTAACATCTTGTTTTATGTTTTCTTTAGTTATTTAAGGTCAATGATTTAGAGTGCATGTTGGGGCAGACCCATGGGAGTGGAGGAGTTCACAAAAGCACAATCTGGAATTAGCTTGTAGCTGTATCTATGTAGCCATATACACGAGGGGGGCTTCCAACTCCTAGTGACCAGTTATAAGGTCTCTGAGGAGTAGCTGCTGGGTTTCAGTCACCATGAGTGGTTCGGTCTAGTGCGTACCCTGATGCGCCACACCAACTACCATGAAATGAGCATGTGTTGCTCTCTAGGCAATGTGCTACGACTTTTTCTGTTATCTCCTTTGATCTTTACTGCAACCTTTTGAGGAATTATCTCCAGATGGAGACAGAAAGCAGTAAGGTCACAGTGGTAAAGTGGTTGCCTAACTCACAGTGTTACTAAGGGCTGAGTCCAGATTTGAACTCAGATCTCTATTAGGAATTCAATTTAAATTCACCATCCTCATGTCTTGTCATGGATTGAATTGTGTGTGCCCCTCCACCCCCAAAGTATGTGCCAACTTGGCTAGCCTTTGATTCTCTGGTTTGCAGTTACATAATGATGTAATGTGGAAATTATATCGTGATCCCCATGATGTAATCTGATGTGATAAATCAGTAAGAAGATCAATGGTGGGACAACCAAAATCAACCTGAATCCACTGCCACTGAGTCAACTCTGACTCATGAGTATGCTGTGTAGGGTTTCTTAGACTATAAATCTTTACAGGAGCTGGTGGATTTGAACTGCTGACCAATGTGTAATCCACAGTGCCACTAGGATGTCATTCTTAATAGCATCACAGCCCTGATCCAATGTAAGGGGAGTGTCTTAGTTGTCTAGTGCTTCTACAACAGAAATACCACAAGTGGATGGCTTCAAACAAACAGACACTCATGCTATAACAGACCAGAAGACCAAATTCAAAGCACTAGTTCTGGGGAAAGGGCCTGGTCTCCTTCAACCAACCGTAGGCCCAGCATTCCTTGGCGATCTACGTGTGTCTTGCCATCAATCTTCCCCTGGACCTAGGAGTTTCACAGTGCAGGGAGCCCAGGGCCAATGGATACTCTCCACTCCTGGCTCTTCTTTCTTGGTGGGAATAGGTCTCCCTCTTTGTTGCTTCTCTCTCCTTTTATCTCTTAAGATAAAAGGTGTTGCAAGCCACATACCTAAGGAAACTTCCTTTCAAATTCATTGGCTACTCATAGCAGATCTCATAGAAGTCAGTACATTGTATTAGATTTCATCATGGGAGATTGTTACCAGGTTCTGACTCCTAGCGAGCCTATGCACAACAGAGCAAACACTGCCTGGTCCTGCATGATTCTCTAGGTCAGGGATGGGGAACCTTTTATCTGCCAAAGTTCATAACATCATTTGAAGGCTGTGCAATATTATCAAGTTAAAATTTAGCCTGTTATATTTGGTCAGGAGTTCTGGTGTGGCACTGTGTGTTAATGCACTAGACCGAAAGGTCAGTTTGAACCGCAAAGTTCAGTGGTTCAAACCCTCCAGCCTTTCTTTGGAAACCCTATACAGGGTAGCTATAGGTCAGAAATGACTCAGTGGCACTTACCAACAACATATTTGATCAAACATTTAATCAACTTACCCCTAATGTGATGGCAGTTCAGGCTCACCAGCCACTCCTCAGAAACCCTATACATGGCCACTATGGGTCTGAACCAACTCAACTGCACTTAACAACTACATGATGGCTGGAACTGCAGTTGCCTTGGCAGGGTCAAACAAAATGATACCATAGGCTGTAGGGGGCAGCTATCCCCCGCCCCTTTGCTCTAGGTCTTAACTGCCAAACTACTGAGAAGCCAGGTTAATACAAAAGTTTAACTATCACACGTAGTTTCCCTGAGGTTTTGCCAGCAACACCTTTTCTCTTACAAGAGATTCAAGGAGAGAGAAGTGAGCAGAAATCCAAGGGACCTACTGTCACCAAGAAAGCAGAACATAGAGTGGAATGGGTTTTTGGGCCTGGGGTCCCTGCCCTGAGAACTTCCTAAAGCCAGCGGAAGATTGCTGCTGAGACACATGGAGATTCTTCAACGAACAGCAGGCCTAAAGATGACAAAAGAGACATGACCTATCCCCAGAGCCCACAGAGAGCCTTTCTTCAGAGCTGAAATACTGACTTAGAATTCTAGCCTCGCAAACGATGAGAGAATCATTTTTTGTCTGTTAAAGCCACCCACCTGTAGTATTTCTGTTACAGCAGCATTAGATTCCTAAGACACCTACGTACAATGTAGACATTTGACAAAAGAAACTGAATCCCCGGGTGGCACTGCCTGACTGTTCTTCACTCCTAGATGCTCTAGCAGATAAACACTGGAAAGACAGACACTTCAGCAGCACTCCTCGAATTGACTCTCTGGCTCTGCAGGCTGGTGTAGCCCCAAAGCTCCGGAGGGAGGTGGAATTGATGTTCTGAGTCAGGATTTATAAGCGTGGGGAATTGTTCTTTTAAAAGACAATGACAAAAAGAAACCTTTTAATGTGAGCCAGATGCAACCATGATTTTGATTAAATGCTTGCTGGTAACCATACTTAGGTGGGAACATCTGCCCACTGATGAGCTCCCTGGAGTTTTAGCAGGTGAATTTATGTAGGAAATACAACTCCAAGTGTTTCTTCCTGAAGAGATAAGTCGGGCAAGAAGGGGTATAGCTCACTTAGCTCTCTTCCCATTATTTTCCCTCCTGCCATTTGGAAACTTAAGTAAATTCATTCCTGCCCTGGGAAAATTCCCCGTCCCCACTTCCCCTCTGCTTCTCTGGTTTGGGCTTTACAGGAACCCATTAACTACGAGGGCCTGTATGTGCCACGAGTCTGTAGGTACGGTAGGCTGTTTGAGGATAGGAGTCCATCGGTTGGTTGGTTATGTGGAGGAAGAGCAGTTATAACGTGGCATGTTGAGAGGCCACACTCCTAGAAGCAGATGGCTCATTAGGAACTGACACAGCTTCTGCTGCTGCTTAAGACTCTAGGGCCAAAAAAAGATCCTGATCCTCAAGGCTACAGGGAAAAAATATCCACGGCACTCTTCCAGAGCAACCAAGGGATTAACTCAACCAATGTCATCTGTACTGATTTTAGAATCCAAGGAGGATGAAATATAAATATGAGCAGGTTATAGAGGACTATCTCTTTCTAGAAGTATATCCAGAGCACAGAGCGCTTTGGTGGTTTGTCGCTAGAGCATCATCATCTATTTGGCTAGGCGACTGAGGTTCTCCTTTGGACAGCAACAGCGATGCAGCAGTCCAGAAGAGGCCTCAGACTTAGGTGTTTGGTGAAAAATGGCCCTAACCAAGCAGACTGCCCGGAAATCCACGGGGGGGGGGGGGGGGGGAAGAGCACTCCCTCTACCAGTGGGGCGAATAAGCCCTTTTTTACAGGCCAGGCACCTTGGTGCTGCGGGAGATCTGCAACTACCAGAAATCCACTAAACTGCTCATCTGGAAGCTGCCCTTCCAGAGGCTGGTGCGGGAGATCACCCAAGACTTCAAGATAGACGTGAGGTTCCAGAGCACGGCCATACATACACACACACACAGGGAAAGTTATCTGGTAATGGCCATGACCGTGGCTGTAGGGAAGTGGGATGATTCAATCTCTACTGAAACTTCAAAATGGCCAAATAACCTTGGAGTATTTTTATGTAAGGATTCAAATTACTAAGTAGTGAGGGCTGGGAGAGAACAGAATGAACCACTGAATGGGGGGGGGGGCAGGGGGGAGGTGTTCATGAGGAATGAGTTGAGGAAATATGTTCTCCCTGCCATGGGTGCCACCAGAATTGAATATGGAGAGATGAGGACGGTGAGTGGCAGGCAGGTTAGTTTGGAAAAGCTTTCCATGAGGTGTTGAGGAAATGTCCCCCCTCTCCACCCAGAGCATGTTGGTCTTGCTGGGATTCTCCCCTCCCCCACCCCACTCCCCTCCACCCCACCCCAACCCACTAGTTGCTAGGAGAGGTGCTTTGTGACGTGTGAGTTACTCCTGTGCTATCATTGGCTGAGGGAGTGCCTTGCTGACCAAACAATGCTGAACTGTGTAACTCCGCCTTGCCTGGGAGGGTATATATATTGGGGGATCAGGAGGCCAGCAGTAGACCACTGTTGGCTACAGTATAGCTACAATGAACCCACAAGAGCCCAACACGGATCCGGAAGATCTAGAGGATCCAGAAGAGCTGGAGGCACCGGAAGACCTGGAGGATCCGGAAGATTCAGAGGATCCGGAAGACCCGGAGGATCCGGAAGACCCGGAGGATCCGGAAGAACCGGAGGATCCGGAAGATCCAGAGGATCCGGACGACTCGGAGGATCCAGAAGACCCGGAGGATCCAGAAGACCCGGAGGATCCAGAAGACCCGGAGGATCCGGAAGACCCGGAGGATCCGGAAGACCCGGAGGATCCAGAAGACCCGGAGGATCCAGAAGATCCGGAGGATCCGGAAGATCCGGAAGATCTGGAGGATCCGGAAGATCAGGAGGATCCGGAAGATCAGGAGGATCCGGAGGATCCGGAAGATATAGAGGATCCGGAGCAAGTAGAGAGCAATGAACCAAGCTCAAGCTCCCAGGAGTGGAAGAAAAGAAAGGCTGCCAGTCACCCTCGGGCCACGGATGAAGAGGTAAGATAATGGGCCCCCCTTCTGCTGTTCTCCATCTGTCCCTCCCCCACCCCCTCTAAGCTCCACTCTGTCCTTGCCTGGCATATACCCCTTCCTCAGCCCCATCCCTTCTCTTGATGATCTCATCATCTTCTCTCAAATTAATGATCTTCTCACTATTTCATTTCCAGTTGCAGAAGGTCCTCACTACAGTGAGGTCTGTCCTTCGGAATAGTCCAAGAAGACCGACGGGATCAAAAAAGCCAACAATATTAGTCTTCTGGTATCGGAAGAAGAAGAAGACGCAACAAAATCAACAGGAGGAAGAGAGCCCAGAGGAGCCGAGCACTTCAGACGCTGATACTAAAGCGAAGGCTCCGGAGTAGTGCTCAACTATATGGAGACCTAATCTTAAATCACCAAAATATACTACATGTGTGGTGATTAAAATAAAACCCACAGATTGTGGCAAAGAAATATGTGGTCCTGTAAGTTCTGTGGTGGTGTGGAGGGCGGGAAGGAAGGGAAGAGATGGGTGTGTGAGGAGGGAGGAAAGTAGTAGGGTCCTGCAGGGTGGGGGCCAGACCGCCTGGTCCACAGTGAGCCTGAGGGTGGGGATAAGGACTGGGTGAGAACGGAGCTCTGAAGACAAATTTCATCATTAGCAGGTTAACCAAAAGGCAAGGAAGCAAGGGTGTGGTATTCTTGTGTGTTCTGGAGGTGGGAAGGGGGGAAGTGGATAATAGGGGTTTAGATTGTCAGGAGGCAGATGGATGGTGTGTGAAGGATGGTGGTGGTGGTTGTGTGCCCTGGTGTCGGTTCTGACTCACAGCGACCCTGAACAGAGTTTCAGAGGTTGTAAATATTTATGGGAACAGAAAGCCTCATCTTTCTCCCCTGGAGGAGCTGGTAGATTAAAACTGCTGACCCTGTGGTTACCTGCCCAGCTTGTAACCCACTCAACTACCAGGGTTCTTTGTGTGAGGGAAAGCAGTGTGTTATGGCCTGATTCCTTTTTTTTTTTTTTAATTTGCTGGCAGCTTTTAAGCCATACCTACATCTGGGCAAACTGATAAGAACACCAGGGGAACTTCTCCAATATAAAATAGAACTATTGCGTTGCCTAAATTCTCACTAGCCATAGCACTAATTGCCCAAAGATAAATTAAAATTAAACGAAGTCTACAATTTACAACCAGTTTGCAAAAATGGAACACTAAAGATCTTCCTCCCAGATTAAAACAGGTAATAAGTAATAATATCAAATCGAAATTAATACTGGTTTTTTGAGGATTGAAACCCATTATGCATGACCTATTTAAGTGGTGGTGGTGGTTGTGTGTCAGTGAGTCATTTCTGACTCATAGCAACCCTGTATGGAGTTTCAAGGGTGGTAAATTTTACGGGAGCAGAAAGCCTCTTCTTTCTCCTAAGGAACAACTTGTAGATTCAAACTGCTGATCTTTCCGTTAGCAGCACAGCTCATAATCCACACTATGCTATTTAGAGAAGAGATGATTATCCCCACTGCTGCTTCCATTTAACAGTCCAGTTTGTTAAAACAAGAAAGAATGAATGGTGCCTCACAGCGCATTGTTGTTGTTAAGTGCCATCGAGTCGATTCTGATTTATGGCGACCTTGTATAGGGTTTCTGAGGAGCAGCTGGTGGGTTTGAACTGCCAACCTTGTGGTTCACAGTCCAGTTCTGATCCTACATTGCCACACCAGGAGTTGAACCTCAATGTCACGTTTCCACTAATGAAGGCCCCATACCCATCAATATTTGAATTACTGATTCCATCCAATTAGAAGCTGGTGTCTTAGTTATCTAATGCTGCTATAAAATTTTTCACAGCAGGATGGCTCCAACAAACAAATTTATTCTCTCCCAGTATAAGAAGCTAGATATTGGAACTCAGAGCCAGCTTCAATGGAGGGCTTTCTTTTTCTCTGCCAGCTCTTGGGGAAGGTCCTTGTCATCAGTCTTCCCCAGGGTCTAAGGTTATCTCAGCACAAAGACAACAGGTCCAATGATGCCCTCCATTTCCACCAGCTACTCATTGTTGGTGGTAGAAGGGCCCTCTTATCTCTCTTTGCTTGTTTAATCTCTTTTCTTTCTCAAAAGAGAGTAACTGAAGGTACAGCCACATCCTGCAGATTGTATCCTGTATCATGATTTTTAATGCCTTTAGCCTCATTAACATCATGTTGCCTTCCCTTCAGTTCTGACTCATAGCAATCCTGTATAGGAGTTTCAAGCAGCAGCTGGAGGGTTTGAACTGCCAACATTGCAGTTAACAGGCCAGTGCTCACTCTTCAATGCCATACCAGGACTCTAAGAGGTGAGGATTTAAAACACACAGGACACATACATCAGATGACAAAATGGAGGGTAATTACATATGCTGATAATCATGACCTAGTCAATTTGAAACAGTTCAGAATCATGGTCTAGTTAAGACTTAGGGGGGAAACAATTCAATCTACTTTTGTTGATAGGTGCCATAGAGTCGGCACCAACTAATAGTGACCTCATGCACAACAGACTGGTCTTGTGCCAACCTCACAATCACTGCTGCACTTGAGTCCATTGCTGCTGCTGCCACTCTGCCAGTCCATCTCATTGAGGGTCTTCCTCTTTGTCGCTGACCCTCCACTTTACCAAGTATGATGTCCTTCCTTCGTGATAATACGTCTGAAGCGTGAGAGACAAAGTGTGGCCATCTGGTTTCTGAGGAGCATTCTGGCTGCACTTCTTTCAACATTTGTTGGTTCTTTTGGAAGTCCATTGTACTTTTTAGTATTCTCCTCCAACACCATAACTCAAATGCATCAATTCTTCTATGGTCTTCCTTATGCACTGTCCAGCTTTCGCATGTCTATGAGGTTACTGAAAATGCTATGGCTTGGTCAGGTGCACCTTCGTCCTCAAAGTGACATCATTGCTCTTGAACACTTTAAAGAGATCTTCTGCAATAGATTTGCCTAATGCAATACGTTGTTTGATAGCGTGACTGCTGCTTCCATGAGTGTTGATGAGCAAAATGAAATCTTTGACAACTTCAATCTTTTCTCCATTTACCTTGATGTCGTTTATTGGTCCAGTGATGAGAATTTTTGTTTTCTTGACATTGAGGTGCAACCCATATCGTCTTTGATCTTCATCAGTAAGTATTTTAAGTCCTCTTGGCTTTCAGCAAGCAAGGTTGTATCATCTGCATATCGTAGGTTGTTAAGGAGCCTTCCTCCAATCCTGATGTCATGTTTTTATTTGTATAATCCAGGTCCTTGAATTATTTGTTCAGAATACAGATTGAATAAATATAGTGCAAGAATGATATGGAGCTTTTCTACCATCCCTTTCCCCGGCACACACCTTTTCTATTTTAAATCATTCAGTGTTCCCTTCTTCTGGTTAAACGACTGCCTCTTGGTCTATGTACAGGTACCTCGTGAGCACAATTAAGTTTTCCAAAATATTCAATTTTCCGTAATGTTGTCCACAGCTTGTCATGAAACACAGGTGAAAGTACAGGTAAACATCTTTCTGGTATTCTCTGCTTTCAGCCAAGATCCATCTGACATCAGCAATAATATCCCTCATTCCATGTCCTCTTCTGAATCTGGCCTTGACCTCTGGCTGCTACCTGTCATGTACTGCTACAGCCATTTAAAAATTATCTTTAGTAAAATTTTACTTGCATGCTATATTACTGATATTGTCAGGTGATTTCCACATTCCCTTGAGTCACCTCTCTTGGAATGGGCACAAATATGTATCTCTACCAATCAGTTAGCTAGATTGTTGTCTTCCAAATTTCTTGGCATAGATGAGTAAGTACCTCCAGTGCCACATCAGTTTGTTAAAAGCTTTCAATTTGCATTCCATCAGTTCCTGGAGCCTTGATTTTGGCCAATGGCTCCAGTGCACCTTCAACTTCTTACTTCAGTACTCTTGATCATATGCTACCTTTTTAAATGATTGATCATCGACCATTTCTTTTTGGTACAGTGACTCTGTATTCACTCTACCTTCTTTTGATGTTTTCTGCATCACTCAGTATTTTGCCCATATTTCAAGTCTAGGCTTGCATTTTTTGTTCAGTTCCCTCAGCTTGAAAAATGCTGAGTGTGTTCTTCCCTTTTACTTTTCTAATTCCAGATCTTTGCACATTTCATTGTATTTGACTTTGTCTTCTCAAGTTCACCTTTTGAAACTTTGAAACTTTAACCTCCTCATTTCTTCCCTTTGCTTTAGCATGTATATGCTGGAGAGCAAGCTTCGGTGTCTATTGTGCCATCCAATTGGAGCTTTTCCTTCTTTTTTGTCTTCCTAATGAACTTTTCATGATGTCATCCCACAACTCTTCTGGTCTTCAGTCATTATTGTCCAATGCATCAAAATTCTTCTTGAAGTGATCTCTAAATTCAGGTGGGATATGTTAAAAGGCCATATCTTAGTTCTCGTGTACTTGGTTTTAATTTTCTTTAGCTTGAACTTGCATGAGCAATTGATGGTCTGTTTCACAGTCTGCCCCTGGCCTTGTTTTGGCTGATGATATGCAGCTTTTCTATCATCTCTTTCCCCAGATGTTATTGTTGTTGTTATGTGCCGTGGAGTCGGTTCCAACTCATAACGACCTTGTACAGGGTTTCTGAGGCTGTAAATCTTTATGGGAGCAGAAAGCCTCATCTTTCTCCCATGGAACAGCTGGTACTTTCGAACTGCTGACCGTGAAATTAGCAGCCTGATTCGTAACCACTACACTACCAGAGTTCCTTTGTCCATGTGTCCAGTTGTCTTTTATGTTAAAGAGTTATCTGCAATGAAAAAGTCATTGATCTTGCAAAATTCTGTCCTGTGATCTCCAGCACCATTTCTATTACTAAGGCCATATTTTCCAAGTACTTATCCTTCCTCTTTTGTTTCCAACCTTTGCATCTCAATTGCCAGTAGTTATCAATACATCTTGATTACGTGATTGATCAATTTCAGACAGATCAAGCTGGTAAAATTCTTCAATTTTGTAGAATTCTTCAATTTCATCATTCTTGGCTTTAGCGGTTGGCACATAAATTTGAATAATAGTTGTATTAACTGGTCTTTCTTGTAGTTGTATCACAGACAGCATTGTATTTCAAGATAGATCTTGAGATGTTCTTTTTGATGATGAATGCGATGCCATTCCTCTTCAATTTGTCATTCCTGGCATAATAAACCATGTGACTGTCAGACTAAAAATGGCCAATACCAGTGCATTTCAGCTCACTAATGCCCAGGTTATCTATGTTTATGCATTCCATTTCATTTTTGATACTTTCCAATTTTCCTAGATTCATACTTCGTACATTCCATGTTCTGTTTATCAATGGATGTTTACAGCT